AGGGGGGGGGGGGGGGGGGGAGTGTATTAGGCGAGAGATGAGATTAAAACATATTTAACTATCCAATTTATATTGTATCATCAAGATTAACTCCTCTCATGCCCATATATATGTTTGTTTGTTTCCATTAGCGGAGAAGGAAAATATGAGCTATGCTGTATATCAAGTAAAAAAAGAAAAATTAATGACATGAGGAAAAACACATCTACACCCAACAAAATCAGCCAATGGGAGTAAAACTATATAAAAATAATAATATGCTTTTATGCACGTATTGTGCACGAAAAAAGCAACATAGCATGATAAGAATAGGTATTTGGATTCAATTTGGTGTTAAAGCACATGACCTTTTATATGGGGTTTTCTCACAATGTTGAGGTCCGAGGAGGGATTGGGTAGCTTTCCTCCAAGATATTCTCTTTGTTCTTTTCTGTTTTGTGTTTTGTTCTCATTTTAAGGAGGATTCCGTATTCTCTCATCTTTTTGTATTTTTATTTTATCGTGTTAATCAATTTTCTTTTATCAGAAAAAAGTAGCACCACGTAAAATGGAAAATATCCCAATATTTAAAGGATTACTACAATGTGATTCAAAACAAACCTTCACTTTCTCTGGTCTAAGCATTCCACCATGAGATGGAGGGCATTCGAAGTAGCGTACTCCTTTGACCCTGTATCATAACAAAGGGAAATTCTAAGTGTAGGTATAATCTGAAGTTTCTAAATACAGAAGCACGTAAGGATACTGATATCCATATCATAAATAGATATAGGAATTTTACTTACATGCCATCATGTTTGCCCAAGGGTTCATCATACTGGACTCCAACCCAGAAACCAGGACCCAGTGGTTCCGCCTGACCAACAAATTTTACAACACCCCTTTTTGCCCCAGGTTCAACTTCACATCTGGATCCTACCTTAATATTTTTGGAAATTGGAAACAGTAGAATAACAAAATAGCAATTAAAAAAGGTTTAATGCATTAAAATATATGTATGATAGACAATAATATGAACAAGAAAACATATCAACTTTTCAGCAATACAGAACAAAGGCGCATGAATCAAAATTAAGAAATCCAAAGAAAAATACCATGAAGTATCCAACAAATAGGTACCGTTCAAAAATCATCCAAATATTCAAGTAACTGAGGCTACAGCCAACCACTAGCAGGTGATAGATGTCTTTAGTCAGGACTCACTAATTATACTACAAGCAATTGATACGATACAAATTCTAACTCTTACAAGCATTTCAATTCATGTTTTATTTGGTTACATGTGGCTTCTTTAATTAGACGGCAAGCCCATCCATTTTCCTGAAGTCATGTTGATCCTTCTCTAAACCTTTTTCTTTTCTTGAGTCATCTATCCCCGCCCCTTTTCCTCCCTTGCATAAAACTAGTTGAGCACCAAACTAACCAAAGTTCCCTTTTATTTTTCTTCCACTCTTTAAGATAAAAAGGTGATAAATGAAAAACCCAATATGGAGAAGAAATGCAGCAGTAACAGAGGTTCCTAAGCAGTTTTTCCTTTCATTTACATGGTCACGATTTATTCTCCAGTATAAAATATTTAAAATATTCCATCAAAACCAGCTCTTTTGTTTTACTAAATCATATTTTTTCAATGGCAATGGCTCAATAAGCACCACTTCCTTTTTATGGGCCACTAAAAAATCTGAATTTAGAAAAAACTCCAGTGACTAAAAAATCAAGAACTCAAGTCTCTAAATTTATTAAATAGTAAAATTAATATCCAATGCATGTGCACAAAACCCTTTAACCTTTTTAGGGAATCAAAATGCACAGTTTGATGAGTTGAAGGAATTGAGTTTTGAACCAGCAGATTCTTCTAACATTGACAAGTAACTGAAGAGGTTTCTTGCATTTTAGTCTAACTTATACAACAGTTAGGAGGAAGCAGTTATTTCCAACATGCAGACAGATTTGGCAGCATTTCAGCACTTATCTTTTTCTTGTTATTGCTATTTATATATATAAATAAAAATATAAATAAAAAATATTTGAAGGGACCTGCTTACTGCAATTGGACCCTACGAAATTAAGCATTGTGATAGGATTTTGATTCTAAAAGAGGTGTACACTACGAAAGATAGGCATGACATAGGCAGATAACATCCAAGCTAACGGAATTATGGTGTGGTGTGGTGCACACAGCACACTTGGTACAATTGTCAGTATTATTCAATCATATAGGAAGATGAGACGGAGGGAAAATTAGTAAGAATTGGACTGGTTTAGGGGAGAGTACAGGGTCCCCCAAATACCCTGAGTTTCTATCTCATCTTCTATCTTCCAATCACACTAATTAGTGGAGAGTATACTCAACAATACAATTCCTTCTGGTTGTCTGTTCTTTCCTTTTTCGTCTCTGTTAATGGTCTGCTTTTTTTATCAAACTCATATCACAGCTCCCACATCCAGGGAGCTTTTCATGGCTGCAATCAGAGAGGTTTGTTAGAGCTGAGCCCGAGGCATCATAGCAAGGAAGATGGAGAATGTAGATTACCATGGAAGCTCAAACGTGTGAAGGCAAGAAATATTTTGTCAGCTGGAAGAATTACAATTAAACCTATCAAAATGGAGAAGACTCTGTATCTGATTCAGGGAGCAAGAATGCATACGTCAATGATGACATAGATGACAAATGGAGGAAACTCGAGATTCTGGTTTTCACCAAACACAATGCATACAGATGGGTGAAGTGCATTGAGGGATGCTTCCTGCTAAAGAGAGTGATGAACGATGAAAAGATGCAAGTGATCAAAGATAGCACCTTATCTTGGTTTTTAGTGGTAGGAGTCGTGTATGGTAAATCCAACATGCACCCTGTTTTGGAACACTGCCATCGGGCATTTCCAACCTACCATGATTTAGAACCCCTCAAAAATCTTGTTGGGGCTGAAACAGGAGAAGAAGGTGCAGGAGTAAAGGATTAGATACAAGGTATATTAGGCTTGAGAAGTAATTGTTTCAGCTTCAAGACCAAGTGGATTACTGGATTAGATGAAGTCATTGTTGAATTCGAACCTTCACAAATAGCTTAAGCTTCGGAGATAATTGGTCCTTGACATTGTAAGTTGTTAATTAAGAGACTGCGGATAAGCATCAGATGTTAGATAGATTAATATTATTATGTTAGGACTTAAGAGTTTTATTATTTTGGTAGTCTTATAGGGCTAGGCTTGTACTAATTTTACTACATCAGCACATGACCTTATTATTAGTATAAACGAGAAGAATATCAGGTTAGTGTTTTACGTACATCTATCATCACATCTCATATCAGTCTAACCTCACATTGTTTACAGTATCTCTATCTCTATTCAATTTCCCTCCTTTTCCACCTAAACCTTATAATTTCAAGTTTTCAACAGCTATAATAGAAAAAGAAAACAACATATAACAATTATAACCATTTGTAAATAGAGAACGAAGAAACATAGACATCATAAGACAAACCTTGATATCAGCACAGAGGTCTTCCATACAGGTGTCTGGAATCTGTGCAATGAATGCCAAATCAATGAAATTGTCAATTACCCAGAAGCCAGGCTACCCAACATATCAATTCTAAAGTAATAGAGATGACAAACTCTAATATACATGTAATTTTGTGCTGTACATGCAATAAGAGAGCACTAAAACAGCAGACTAAGCAGGATGCATAAATAAAATGATTACCTTTGCCTCCGCAGTTGTAGGAATTTGAGAAGTAAATTTCTCTTTATATTTTCTGAAAGTGTCTGTTACAGCATAGATAAAAACATACATAATAAGCTACAAGACCCAACAGTATGTCACTACGAATATACACTTTTGATATATTCTTAATAAAAAATGCAGGATCAAAATGTTTGGGTCTTTTGATAGCACATACATAAATCTTTAATCGGATTGAAATCAGCTGACTTGATTAGAGGAATTCTAAATGCATGCCAATATGCACCAACTTTAAAAAAGAAAAATAAAATGAAAAAAGGAAATAAAGAAAAACCTTGTGAGAGAAGGTTCACAAGACACATAAAAACATGGTCAACCATAATCCATTCAAGGGTGGCAACGCAATTTTTACCAACAACGATTGAAATCACACTTCAAGGGAATTGAAAAGCTCAATTTCTTCTTGGTGTTCTCATAATCATGTTAACATATGCAAAATAAAAGCCCCTATTTTCATGTTAGCATATTTTGCTCTTGAATAAGTATTTAAAGATTGAATTTTGAGAAAATAAAAGCCCCTATTTTCATTTTACAGTTTCTATTTTCCATTCCTAAACCTACTTCTTAAGGGTACACATCAACAAACCCTGTCTGGTACTTATTTTTTTTAATCAACAAGAAAGATTACAGTGGCAGTAATAAGGATCAAATTTAAGTCCTCTTGTATTGCTCCAACTCTCGCACCACTAGGTAGACCCTGATGGTTCCTGTCTAGTATCTATAAAGATAATGAATATATGTACCAACAATGTAAAGTTTTTTTATGCTATCATCTGATCACAGACTACAAACTACCATACATGGTAAGTCATACCAAGGATGAAATCTAATTGATTGACAGTATATAAAAACTTTGACATTCACAATACATTCCTATTAAACTCTATTTTCAATGCCAAAATCACATTGAACATGGAATTTTTTATTACTATTAACATAAGAACAAATCACCTTAAAAAAAAAAAGTAAAAAAAAAAAAAAGGTTTTTTGAGGACATGCCTTGTCGCTTGTTATAGGCTTCTTCAGAAATTTTGTACTTTTCGACCAACGAAGTATCTTCGAGCCAACCACCAGAGGAGACGGAAGTTGGATCAAGATCGAGAACATGCAAACGGAAGCCATCGAGAGGGGAATAGAAGCCAAGGGGTTTGGAATTGTCAGAGAGATCAGCAACTTTGTTGCGAGCGTCGTCGAAGAGTTCGAGGTGCATCGAGTTGACGGAGGTCCCGCATTTTCTCCAGAGCTTGTCTTTGACGGCTTCGACGGTGAGCTGAAGCGAGAAACGGATGTCGGAGGCGAAGGTTTTGAGATTGGAATGTGTCACGCGCAACGTAACGGACTCGTCCCCTTGGACTTGGATGCTCGACGCCATTCCACTCCACAGTCCACACTTTCTTCGCAACGCAATTCTAATTTTGTGTCTTCGTCTTCAACCACCTTTGTTACTGTGAATCTCTGATTCTGGGTGTGTTCGGCTTCCGCACCTTCTGTTGCTGCTGGGCCACACTTTTGGGCTTTATCGGCCCGTTTCTCTACTGTACTCATGACCAAAAACCAAAACGCTCAATTAGAGATTTACAATATCTCTACTTAAATGTGTGTTTCATATATTATTATCGCAACTAACCAAAATAATATTTCTTAGCAATCCACTTTCCTTGTATTTTTATTTTTATTTATATATTTCATTGTGAATCTAAAATATAAATTATATATTCAAAAAGCTAGTTATTTATTTAAAATGAGTTTTAATTATAATATAATTTGTATATTTAAAGTTATTTGTTATAAAATTTTAATTGAGTAAAAAACAAATGTTTACCTTGTAAGCTAAAATACTATTATTGCTTAAAGTATTTTTCCAAATAAAAATTATTCAAATATTATTTAATAATAAACGTTTGAAAGGATAAATTCGACGAATTTGTCATTTTATAGTTAAATGTTAGAAATATTTTATTATTAAATTTTAATTAATAATTTTGAAGACGATAAAAAAAGTAAAATAATTATTCATATTAAATTAAGCTTAAAATATAACTTTTTTACTAAAACCTCGAAATTTTTAGAAACAAACACACATATGGGAAGCATATTCAGTGAGGATGTAAATTTTTATATAAAAATGAAAAGAATAAATTTGGGTTATAGAATTATACATGAATAATTTAGATTTAATGTATTATAAACACTTAAAAGAAATAGGACTTTTTAAAAATTCACGTGACTTGTATATTTTAATTTTTATTGTTCGTGACAAAGTCCAATGATGAAAGATTTTTCCTCTCTATTTCACGTAAAAAGACTCTCTTTCTTTTTCTCTCTGAGCATTTTCATATTACATGCACATGCACATGCAAATGCATAGTTTGTATTGTAAATGCGAAACAGAGATGTTCTGCATTGTCTACTCCGATCAATGCAACATTACAACTTATCAAAAGATTGATTTGATAGCTCACGACCCACTCACTGCAAATGCAATCCTAGTTGATTTCCACATTCCCCCAACAACCACTTTGTGATATGCATGCATGGCACTGCCACACCTCTATACACAAATTATTTTGGACAATTATTCCTTCCACCATAAAAGCAGGATAATATTTCTCCGGTAACGGAAGTACCAGTTGGCGCTGGGCCCAACACCAAGGCCCAAATTCCCTGCAAATATTTAGGTCGGTGTCTCTAGACAACTCTTATGAAATGCTCTAGAAATTGTCAATTTGAATGAGATTCATGATGAAAAAAAAAAATCTTGAGGGGACACCGTTGTTTCCGGTGACCGTAAACTTGCTTCTAAAGCAATATGTTGCACTTAAGTTGAGCACTGTGGGCAAAATGTACGTGGAGAAGTTTGTTTACGTGTTAGGATCTTGATGTCTTGACGTGTAAGTGTGTCATTGGGTTGTTGGTGGATTTTTCCAGGTGTCAATACACTGGCTTGTAATTGGACATGTCGTCGGCACCTTACGTTGAAGAAAGGAGCAGGGGTATGGTCAATTTATGGTCTTTTGTTAGGGTAAATGTATAACATATGGTCAATTTTTTTATGAAGAGATCATTTCGATCGATGGTGATATCTGAGCAACTAACATGAGGATAGCAAACCCATTCAAACGGGCCCAAATCAGTGTGGGTTTTTTTTGTAGTTGGAAGGAGATTTGGTGGATCCAGTGTCTTCTTTAAGATTCTCGAAGTTTACAGGGCCACGTGGGAATCGTTCTCAAGCTGGAGCTGAATGATCTTTCACGTTTGATATGTATATTATATATATATATGACTGTTCAGGTGTGTTGGCAAAGTACATGATTTTGAGCGCATATATTCATTGATTCTAGGTTGTTTATGAATATCATATACAATTCATAACGACCATTATATTTGGCATTCATAACGTGTTATGTTATTTCCCAATTAAATTAAAACGTTGTTGTTGTTGTTTGGGTATGGAGGACCTTTACAATAACCTAGAAAAGGTGTAAGCTTATAAAATTTAAATAGTGTAACCTTTTGCATCTTGATCTTAGGGTTGAGTTCCATGGCATACGCTCATGTGCCAAAATCCTGGGACTTTTGGGATAATTTCTAAAAGTTTTGGCCCTACTCATTCTTTAATTTCCACTAAAATAATCTCAGGCTTTTGTGAGAGTGGTTTGTCCTACTTATACCATGTAGTAGACCAAAATCTAACATGCTATTATCAATCTGGAATGCCCAACACTCCTCATTTAGAATGTTGGCATGGTTAGGAAAGGGAAAGCCCTTTTGGAAGTTGGCCAGTGACCAAGTAAGACAGTCGACATAATATAAAGAGGCACAAAGGGAGAGTTGTCAATCGAGTCGGATTGATCTGATCCGATATAATTTATATAATCTAAATGTTATTTTATATTAGATTGTTTGTCCTGTATATATTTTTTTGAGCTACTTTTTTTTTGTTTCAATTTTATATATGTCAAGCTATTAGGTTAAATTGATCTATTTAAAAAATATATTTAAAAAAAAGTTCCATGTTTAATATTTGGTAAGAGTTTGAGTAGGAGCATCACAAATAAAGCAACAAATGATAATTGAAATGAAATAGAAAAATGTCATAACAAAAAAGATTTATTAGTTAGATAAATATATTTGAACAGTTAAGCAAAAAAAATTATATCATTGAGAAATAAGGTTTTTTATAAAATGAAGTAATACCTTATAATTTTGTAGTCTGAACGATGAAATGGTAAGTTGTTATCATCATTCCATGAACACAAGCACAAGAGTAATTGTGTCTTTATCTTTTTTTGACAAGTGAAACAAAGATAACAAGTCATAGGGTCGAGTCATCAAGGGAATAATGAGATTATGAGAATGATGTACAAAATTCTAATAATAGCTAATCTTAACCTTAAGTTTAACTATAACTTTGTAATCAAATCTCAAAAAGTAAAAGACTCTTATTGTTGTACTACCATTATATATATTTTTCTAATATTTTATAACACATTATAAATTATTATTAATTTAAAAAAATTTAATTAGTAATTAAACGAGCTAGTTCATAACCTTATTAACTTGATTGGGAAAACTGAGACAGAGATTGACCTAAAACCATAGAAAGTATACAAAATTGGATTTGATCTAATCAAGTTAATTGACTTATTAAATAGTCAATCCTAATTGAATTTGATTTTACATAACATATAATTAAAATTAAACTACATGATGCTACTTTCATACGATCCATTTAAGTTTTACACGATAGTACACTTATATTTCCTAATTAATGATCAGAGTATGATCAGAGTATACTTTACTTTTAAATAAGTCAATTTAGTGTATGAATTTATTTTACATACAATAGAAATTAAATTACTTTTTTTTCTGTTCCTGTCTGAGGACACACTCGTAATCTTCTGGGAGGTAGAGGGCCGAACGGGAGCTTCAGGTGGATACTTTAGAGGGGGGATGTACCTGCAAAAGGCACTTCGACGCTCAAGTCAAGGACAAACACGATTCTCTAGGGTAATAAATGCACAGTGACATACCTCGTTTCGTGTGACTTATTTATACTACCTTTGATGGACCTTGTCAGTAGTGGGCCTCTTCTAAAGCTTACTAAATTAGGCAATAAAATCGACTGATTATAGCTTAGTCGCGCATTTGTCCTTGTTAATCCGTGATTATCGTCTTAACTATGCTGATTGTCGGTCATTGGCCGAGTCGACAAGGAATGGCCGAGACAACCTCTTTGGCCGAGCCAATAAGGAACGGCCGAGTCAACTTATGGCCGAGTCGATAGGGAACGACCGAGACAACCTCTTTGGCCGAGCCGATAGGGAATGACCGAGACAACCTCTTTGGCCAAGCCGATAAGAAGAGGGTTGGATTCTCCATGGTTCTCGGCCCCTTGCCGAACCGAAGTAGTGCTTGAACTGCGTCAATATCTGATAGAATATGACGTGGCCCACGTGGCCGATCCACGTGGCCATAGGACCCTTCTAGTACATTTCCAAATTAGGAATTAAATTAATTTATTCAAATAAGATATTTTTGAATAAAAAATTAACTCAAAACAGTAAAAAAATTAAAATTTTGATTTTTTTAACGCAATAAAAGGAAATAAGGAACCCTGCGTGCGTGCTTGTCAGTTGTTAATTACGATATTTAAAGAGAAAAATATATCAAACAAATTCATGCTAAGAGACATATCCATGAATGAAAATCTTATCCTCTAGTGATTGTTTCGTAAAAATATCCTCCTCTTTAATTTCAGGGTTACATCGATTAATAATTGAGTAGTCCTTTTGTTATCGATTAATAGCATTTCATCATTGATGGCTTAGATGCCAAGTGTACCAAACCAACTATTTCAATATTGATGATATACCTTTAAATAGTAACACAACATTTTGCACGTCAAATCAAGAGTCACGTCGCACTTCCATGCACGAAAAATATTCTTAATTTACCCGGCATTTATTATCTTGTTATTTACACAACAACTTACGAATGCCAACATGATTGATTCCATTTAATTAATTAACCGGCTATTTTTTTTTTTCATACCTCGATAAATATAATATTTATATTAAAAATTATTTTTACTTAATATATAGCAATATATTATTAAAAATACATATATAAATTAGAATAACATAAATTTTATTAAATTTTATTTAAAATTAATATTAAAATTCTATATAATTAGATATTAAATAATTAATATATATATATATATATATATAATATTTATAATGATATACGTGGTCGGATGTAATTTTTTTAGTAAACTTACGCACCCTTTTTCACCATAGCCATCATTCACGTCATCACCCTAGTTTCATCTTCGGTCAACTTTATTTTTCACTGTTTTTATCACTCATACACTCCCTTGTCTTGTTCGCAATTCGTGACGTCAATTTAAGAACTATCTAGCGAGCATTTCGTAGTTGGGAATATTCAATCAGAATTTCTTCCGTTTGAAATGTGATGTGTATGTGAAGAAATTAGTTAAGATTCAAATGAATGAAGTGATCAAAGATCTCAGAATTTTCTTGATTTATTAGTCTTTACGAAAAGAGTTTTGGAGGAAGCCTTATCTGAAACTATAGTTTCTCTCTCACTCACTCACTGTCTCTCTCATTTTACGTCAATGTAACGAGTTGAAATATACAATAACCAACTTTGGATAAATTAAGGTTCAATTCAAGACTGCCACCTAATTAGCCTGAGCATTAAAATCATATGGTTCTTCGAATGCAATGTAAGGGCAATTAATAAAACTAAAGATAAGAATAATTAGGTGGTACTTTGTCTTTAAGTGAAATTTTCAATCTCTATTTGCAATCATGATGCCCAAGACCTTTAATCAAGTTAGGTAGATTGCCTAAAACTAGTTATATGCTTTCATCACAAGAACACAACTTTTATCATTGCTACGATGAAAAATTAAGACATTCACCAACCCATCTCAAAACTTGCACTAAATGCACTCTTAGACCTACCCTTTTCCCTAGGGTTCCCAAATTGATAAACTAACAACAAAGTGTCAAAATGAAAATTTTTACCTTTTACATAATCAGTGAAATATTAATGTTTTCCTACATTGATTCTTTTCTTTATTACTTTAAATATTTTGGTTCTTTTGAGGAACTTTTTTACGAAGTAATAAAATATCTTTTTAAAGTTTATTTGTATACACTAGTTAATTAATATATTTTTAGCAATTTGAAATGAACATGTACTATGTCAGTCACAGTTGGCTAGTTCATTTGTGTTTTATATTATAATATTAACAATTCAGAAAGAGATACAAAGTTTTTGTTTCATATCATATTCTTTTCTTGCGATACTTTTAAAAAGTTTATGGTGTGAATATTTTAAGTGATGAAATATTGAAATCTGTACAAACAAATCATTAATAGTATTCGATTTGCTATTAGATGACTTAATGAAGGTGCATGTGAGTCAAGTAGCTATGTTTTGATTGGGGTTGGTGATAAGAGTACTGAAGCACATGGTAGTCCTCAACCATGCAACTTTGTGTTCCCTACTCACAAATACGTATGCAAAGTTTTGAAAAGCCATGTCTCCATCCGTAGGACCCTCAACTTTTATGATACCCTTAATTCTATGGCCCCTTCGTTTATACGCGCCCATTGGATATGATGTAACAACTAGGGGTGTTCAAATTGCTAAATTGAACAAACTAAAAGAAAACTAAACTAAACTATAATAAATAGTTCATCAAACTAAATTGAACTAAAATAAATATTGACTAAACTAAACTAAACTATTATCTACTTTAGTGCACTATAGTTATAGGAGTTTGAACTAAACTATAATATCAACTAAATAAAATTATTATTAACTATAAACTAAATTGAATTACATTAAAAAAAAAATTTAAAATTAACATTTTTAAATTGAGCTACCAAATCATTGATATTAATGATGAATTAACACTACTATAATTTTTTTATTACATAAGATTTTTCCTGCGAATTTTTCATAAAAATTTGCAGGAAACGTTGTTCCTACAAATTTTTTTGTGAAATTTTGTCTATAGGTAATAACTTCGTGGATAATATGTTTTTGCGAATTTTAAAATTTGTAAGAAATTTTCCAGCGAAATTTCTTGCAAAAAATATCGCAGGAAGGTTTCCTGCAAAAAAAAATCGCAGAAAAGTTTCTTGCAAAAAAAAATCGCAAGAAAGTTTCGTGCGAATTTTTTTACAACAAATTTCTGCAAGAATATTTTTTACGAAAAAAATTAAAGAAATCACTAATGATCACAATGAATTTATCTGAAGCCCCAACATGTGATATATAATCTTTTAAATTCTAAGATTGTAGATTATAAGCCTAACACTTAACCATACAAATCAACTTATAAGATAAGTGTTGCCCCAACTTATATATTCTTTAATTGTTTTATTTTCAATTGATGTGAGACTTGAAGTTTTTTTAAAATATTAAACTTATAAATTTAAATATTTTTTTTGATTTTTCTTGCAGATTAAAATTGATAGGAAAATCCGCAGGAAAAGTTATCTGCAAAATTTTTCTACCATTTAGTAAACATTACTTGCAAATTTATTTTTGCAAGAAAATTTGCAAGAAACAAAATAAAATTCTTACAATATTTTCTGTAAATTTTGACCATGGAAAATTTTTTCTATGATCATTAAAATTGTAGCAAAATTTACAAAAATTTCTTGTAGATTATTTTTCATAAAAATATTTATAGGAAATATCTGTAAATTATTTTTATTAAAATAATAATATTTTTTAGCATAAAAAATAAAATTATTTGGATAATAAAGAGATAAGTTTGTATATATATATATAATACATTTTTTTTAATTTTTACAATATTTATATTAAAAATATTGAGAGAGTAATAATTACGAAAAGTATATAAATTTCTATTCAATTAATAAATAAAAATTATTTTTTAATCCTATAAATTAATTATTTATTTAGAACTATAGTGCACTAAACTACTTTTTATAATAGTTTAGTTTTTAAAACTAAAACTTAAAATATAATTTAGTTTAGTTTTTATAAAAATTAGTTTAGTTTTTTATAGTCTAGTTTAGTTTAGTTTTCTTAATAATTTAGTTTAATATAATTCTTTGAACACTCCTAGTAACACGCCTCTATTCAGTCAACGTACTGATTTGGCGATTTTTGCTTATGATAATTAAAGTGATGAATAATAAATAAATTTGGTGCATTTACACTCTTTTCCTAACTTGGAATATCGCTTATAAGCAATAAAGGTGAAACTGAAGGGGTTTGGTTGGTTGGCATAGTCAAATGTTATTATGAAATTGAAAGTAAAACGCAATTCAATGTCTTGTTGAGGGGGTTGGACCCGATTCTGCAAAGGTAAATGTTACGTAGAAACACGATAAAAGTGAGACTCAGTTGTGATAATAATTTCTAAATTAATTCATTATATGCATATATTATCCTTTTTAAATATCAGATAAGGTACACATCATTTAGTTTAATGGAACCGGAAGTTATAAGAGATTAATCTATCGAAAAACTAAGATTTTTTTAAATTAAAGGGGTGAATTTTTCTAATAAATATTATTTTCTTAAATAAAGGTTTTTGTGAATTAATGATATGAAATTCTAAATAAGAGAATTAATTTTATAAAAGTATAGAAAACTTTGTAGCTAACACAAAATTTGCAACTTTTCGCTATTTGACCCTACTCATTCCATAATTTATGTTCCAACTTCCAAGTAGTTGTACGAGTGTCGACCCACCACTTATAATTACCTTATTTTCATCTAGTTTCATAGCACTTCAGGGCAGGCTACCGTATGAATCACTAAAGCAATTAGCAGTCCAGGCCTCAACTTTCGAAGTTTTTATAATATGTAATATAAATAATCTTATAAATTTTTTTTAAAAATTAAATATATTTTTAGTCCTTATAAAATGATAAAATTATTTTATTTTATGAAACTAGAAATATATTAAAAAAAAATTAAAAAAAACAGTCTAAATTCTATGCTTAAAAATTATTTTACTTTATTACACTTTACGTATCCTTATAAATTGTCAATCATCATTTATTTACTTGGGTTAGCCTTCCGTGAATCTAATACTAGCACTAGCGGTGTCCAGCTCAGTGAGTCATAACTCAAACTTATAACTTTTGGGTCTTCCTCCAACTCGTGGTAACATGAAAATCACGTGAACAACGTTTCCTTAGGTTAATTAAATTATAGTCAATAGATGTAACGGGTGCAAATTTAATTTCTTATCCGTAACCAACGCAGGATGAACTCAGTTGCTGTAAATTTCCTCAATTGTAATAGTAGTAATTATAATTTTGACGAATCTGTTCCGTCGAATTCAAAATACACCCAAGGTGCAGCTTGGACCACACAATAACGGGTTCTAGAGATTTCCAAAACTGCCCCACTCAGAAAGAAAATAAATAAATAAATCACATGTAACAATATTTGTGCATGTGTTTATCTCTTCATATTTATTATTATTTTTTTTAAATCTCTCTAACATTAATAAATATCTTATATAATAAACTTTTTTATTCGTTTTATTTTCTCTGATAACAAAAAAAAAAACTTTCTATCAATAAACTTTAATTAATAATAAAAAAATGCATTAAAAAGTGTATTAATAACTCTTTAAACATGTGATCAGAAATAAATAAATAAAATCATGCACTTAAAAAAAAGTCAATCTCTTAAATAAATAAAATTACTTTTATTGATCAAAATTTATTAAAAATAATTTTTTTATGGATGTCACTCTCACCATTAAGTTAAGGAAGAAAATCATTAAAAGAAGCATGAGACTAAAAATGCATAAATTTTAAATAATAATAATAATAATAATAAAAGATTATGAAAAGCAAAAGTAGTGTGAACTATTCTTTTTATATATATATATAAAATAAAAAAAAAAAGTGTAATAATGTAATGCAATGAGAGTGAGCATGTGTTGGAAGCAGGATCCCCCTCCGTGGCACGTGCCTCTCAAAAGATGCCACGTCATGTGATGATGATAGAATGAGTGGCTTCAAATGAGATGGTGGTGAATCACAAACTCATAAATATATAAGAAAGAAAGAAAACTCAGATTCTCACACACAGACAGAGAAAGAAAACCCAAGCTTATCTGATATCTCCTCACACACTACACCCATGGGCGAGGTACCCTTCTCTTCTCCTCAAATTATCACCACCATTACCATTCCCTTTCTCATTTATTTTTTTAACAGGAGGAAAAGAAACCAGAGGAGCCCAAGAAGGAAGAAGAGAACAAAAAGGAAGACAAGAAACCAGAGGAACCAAAACAATCCAAGGAGGAGCCACCACCGCCGCCGCCGGAGATTGTGCTTAAAGTGTTCATGCATTGCGAAGGTTGCGCTCGCAAGGTTCGTCGCTCCCTCAAAGGATTCCCAGGTAACAACACACGACACAACACAACCCTCACTTTTCCTTTTCTTAACTTTTGTTTTCCCACGTTGTCTCACTCTGTTTCTGTCCCAATTTCAGGCGTGGAAGATGTTCTCACCGACTGCAAGTCTCACAAGGTTGTGGTGAAGGGAGAGAAAGCGGATCCGGTGAAGGTTCTAGAGAGAGTGCAGAGGAAGAGCCACCGCAAGGTGGAGCTTCTCTCTCCGATCCCAAAGCCAGCGGCGGAGGAGGAGAAAGAGAAGCCGGAGGCGGAGCAGCCGGAGGAGAAGAAGAAGGAAGAGCCTCAGGTGGTGACGGTTGTTCTCAAAGTTCACATGCATTGCGAAGCGTGCGCCCAGGAAATCAAGAGACGCATCGAGAAGATGAAAGGTAACGGCTCTAAAATAAGTTACATAAAATAATTTATGTTGGAATAGCTAGGGAGAGTAATTGAGATGGTTGTGCAGGGGTGGAAGCAGCGGAGGCGGATCTGAAGAGCTCGGAGGTGAGCGTGAAGGGGGTGTTTGAGACGGCGAAGCTGGTGGAGAGCGTGTACAAGAGGACGGGGAAGCATGCGGTGATAGTGAAGGAGGAAGCAGAGAAGAAGAAGGAGGAAGAGAAGAAGGAGAAGGAAGGTGAGAAGAAAGAGGGAGAGGGTGAAGGTGAAGGTGAAGGTGAAGGTGAAGGTGAAGGTGAAGGTGAGAAGAAGGAGGGAGAGGGTGAAGCGAAAGCCGAAGAGAGCACGGTGGTGGAGGTGAAGAAGAGTGAGTACTACTACAATCCACCACGGTACGGGACGGAGTTCTATGCTTACCCTGCACCCCCGTATCCACCTCAGATCTTCAGTGATGAGAACCCCAATGCTTGCTCTGTCATGTGATGTCAGGGGTGTTACGGGAATTTCACTCAGATCAGATGGATGCTGGATGTACTTTTCCACCCATCCAAACTCAAATCTACAGATAATCGATCTCTAGAGTTTTGTAATGCCTCTACTTTTTCTAAATTCTTATTATGTAAATGAAAATATAAGTAAAAGTAACTATAGTTTTTTAATATTCCCTTCTAGTTTTTGACCTTTTAAGGAGGTAAAAAGAGATACATATTTTACTTTCTTTTTTCACTTGCATGTCAATTTCTGTCTCTCTACTTTTTAAGAAGTATAAAATACGCAAATATCACCACCTTCTGCCTTTCTAGTTCTACCCTACTCTATTCTAAAACCAAGAGTGAAATTCCTCAAAAAAATGGTAACAAAAATAAACATAATTGAATTCATTCATTCTTTTTCCTTGGTATTATTTCATAAAATACTAAATGAAATAACGGATTTGTATTTTTTTATTTATAAACTAAAATAAAAAATAAAGGATTTGCAAACTTATACTATCTCTTTTAGAATAATTTATAACTCTTTCATGAATAATGTCATTCCAGTATTATTCTCTTTTTACATGCTGAAATGTATAATTTTATTTATTTAACAATAAAACATTTTTTTTAAGACAACCAAATTACACCTCCATATACCAACAAAACTTTTTTTTTTCAAGTTTTGAGCTTAAAGTCTTGTAAATAAAATATTTTTTTAATGAGTAATAAATATTTCACACTAATAAATTAGAGAAAGTAACATTCTCTCACATCCTTTAAAACATATTTTCTAACATTGATTAAAATTTATTTAAAAAATATATATAATTTGATAATTTTCACAAAACAAGTCTACTTCGATTGAGTTTTGATGAATTTATTATCTGATCTAGTCAAAATTCAACGGATTGAGTTAGATTAGATTTGTGTGTTTTTTTTAAATTTAAATTTATTCAACCCGATCACTAATGAGTTTGATTGGATCAGATCAATTGAGTTAAACATAATTAAATTTATTGTTTTAAAATTTTAAATATTTTATAATAGATGTAAATTATTTAGTATTTTGTTGTAAATGTAATGTTATCGACTCATAAAGTAAATAATGATATAAAATCATATTTCAAAATATATTTGTTAATTTACTACATTGTTAATAGCTTGGACAATTAACATTGATATAAAATAAAATTTAAAATAAATATGGTGAATTGTTATAAAGTTATCAATACAAAAATACAAATTTTTATTTTGACTAAGAGTGATAGAGAGTATTGTTTTGAACAAGAGATCATCCAAACACTAATTTATTATTATTATAATTTTTTTTTTATTATATATGATCGAGTTGAATTAGATTGTGAGTAAAAAAACATAAAACTCGTTATAATTATTTAATATTCAATTTCATAATTTAAATTAAAAATAATTATAAAAATATTTTATACATTGATTTAAAATTTTAAACAATGAACTATTCAATAGTTTTAAATTTTTTCAAAATTTACAAATTTAATCTATACATTAAGAGTTTTTAATATAACAGTTAAATTATTAAAAATTGATGTAAAACATAAATTATTGAGTGAAATAAGTTTAGTAGACTTACTATTGAAATAAGGAAATCTTTTCTACATAAAGGATAAAAAATAATATTATAAAATAAGTTTAATTCAACTAATTAAACATTGTTGTAAATTCTTTTTATATTGACTCAAATTTTTATAAATAAAAAATACATTACTCCATGAAAATAAGTTATGAATGTAAATATATTATAAAACTAAAATAATTTTGTAATATATACACATGCTTAAATTTATTAGCAAATAGTTTTATAGTCAAATAATTATTTTTTTAATAACAGAAATTATGGGAGTTTTTATAGAATTTAATGATTTCATCTATTAAAATAGAAAGATATATATTTTAAAATAAGGAAAGAGAAAAAAATATTATTTTAATATAGATGACTGGACAAAAAATATTTTAACCATAGAAAAGTTTTAACAAAAAACTTAAAAATAAAGTGCAATTTATTTTTTGTTTGTTAAAAAGGAGGGACATATATTTTAAAATAATAGACAAAAGATAAAAGGAAATTTGATTAATCATTTTTAAGTATGTTTCTCTTTTCAATTACTTTTTATTCATAAAATTTACATTTGCCTTAAGACTTTACTTAAAGGATTTGAATTTCACATTCATATCAACAATTTGTTAATAAAAGATTTTATATTAAAAAAGATAAAATTGTGTAAAATTTGAATCTTTCAACAAAGAAGAGTGCAATTTACTTTTTATTTTATTCGCATATACATAACAAATAAAATATGTTTATTTCTTTTCATTTATTACAAACATGATAAATCTATAACTTTCGAAGATTCGTCAAACCAATTTAAAAAATAAATAAAAATATTATGAACGTACAAAAATACTAAAACAATAATAATATGATTTTGAAAATATTAGAAATTTAAATAAGATACGTTTTTATATAAAGCCAACAAAAAAATCAAGAAAACTTGCAAGAAAATAAGGTTTGTGCTTCATACCATAGTTGTCTAAGTGAATCTCCTATAGTTCCTTTGATGAATTCACTAAAAACTCATGCATTAAGTTTTTTTTTTTTTTTTTTTTAAAAAAAAACACATACAACATGCATAACTTTTCAAATCTTCAACTCAAGACCTCTCTCTTGAGTTAATCTTAGTTGGGAATAATATTGATTGCTTTTTCCCTTGCAGCAACATTAAACCTAGAAAATTGAAATTGACAAAAAAAATGCAATTAAAATTCAATTAAGTGAGATAAAAGTTTAGAAAAATGCTACAATTGTTATAAAACAAAATTTTAAAGGGTTTAGAAATTGTAAAATAAATAATACATGACGAGTTTCTATTTAGTTATTAACATCGAGAATAAAATACGGCGTTCAGCCTAAAATCAATTATTAAGCCATGTAACTTTGGAAATCACTGTTAAACTCAACTCATTCAAATTCCTAACGTAAGTTTATCTTTCTCTTGCTTTTTTTAGTTTATAAATTAGATAATTATTAATTATCATGCAGTTTACCAAATTAAAACTCCATCCTTATCCCCATTTTTTTTTTAATAATTTCCCTCCTTAATTTTAATCACTTGTATTTTTTATCAAAATAATTATACAAATTTATCTTATAATTACTTATACTTTACTTTGAATTATCAACTTTTTATATATTAAACACAAATTTTTATATTGTACAAGAATGTTTTTAAAAAAATTTATTTAATTTTTTTAAATCTAATTTAGTTATTATTTATCATAATTATTTATAAATTAAATTTTAATATTTTAAAATAAATTATCAATAAATAAAAATAATATTATATTATAATGTAAATTATTTATCATAAATTTAAATTATAATTTATATATTATTGTAAAAGAATATAAATTTTATATTTAAAAATATCTATTTATATAAATTTCAAATATGCTTTATATATTCAAACATAACATTTATTTGTATATATAATTTATTATAAATTTTAGTTATATATAATAAATATTTAATCCGTTCGATCTGCAAGTTAAAATATTAGTTTCTAAATTTTTACTAAAAAATAAACAATACTCGGTAGTTTTAATCAATTTTCAAACAACAAATTTATTCAAAGTATTAAGAATAGAAAAAATCAATTTAATAGCAATAAAGCTGATATAACTATAAAATTTCAAGGACGGTATCTAATAAAAATATCTGTGTAACAAAAAATGTTACATTAACAATCTACCTCCTATCTTACCAAATTAATTCGATGATGTTTATTAGAGCATAGAAGAAGAGAGTCCAACTATATCTATATCTATATATATATATATATATATATTTTTTTTATATCGATATTTGGAATGTATTTGTACA